CAACACAGTGCAGTGGATGCCAACTAGCTTGAACCAAGATAAATCGGTACATAATTTGGAAAGCAAAGTCAAAATGTTCTCCTATTAATACTACAGAACGATTTTTGTATCTTATATTTGCAGGTTTCACCTTTTACATCAAGCGATACATTAGAGTGCCAATGTGATCATCTTACCGATTTTGCTGGAGGATTGTTTGTATTACCTAATATTGTGGATCCATTTCAAGATGCCTTACTTTTTCTGACGTTTTTTGAGAACCCAGTCGTAGTGTCCGTAGTGATATTGGTCTGGTTGATGTATTTTGTTGCTCTTTACAGGGCAAGACAAGCAGATCGTAGGGATTCAAATGTTGTAAATAAAATTAACATTAAAGGATTAAAAAAACTGAAAATAATACATTCAAAACTCTCCTACGGATTTATTTTTATCAGGAACGCTCAAAATCATGAACAATAAGGCCAAACATGACCTAACAGGGATAACCATGACCGTTTTGGTCAACATTGCCTGATGGAGGTGAAACCTTAGTTTTGGAATAGTTTTATAACATATCAACGTAAAATTGAAAAAAAAAATGTATGTCATAAATTGACGAAGCATAGACTACTGTGCAATTGTTACCATCGTTGACTAACAGTCCACTGAAATTTGTTAGGAAGTGTACCTGATAAAGGTTATCATTGAACACGTGGTGTACATTCATTGTTCGGTATCGGAAATTGATATCGATTAGAATTACTATCAATAGATAAATAAGAACGTCAAAAATTATACAGGAAACGCATTACGCAGTTTAGAAATAAGATGTGATATGATTGCCAATCAGACATCTATCCACAAACTCGAGACCAAAAGACAAAGATGGGTCACCGTACGTCCAGACAAAATTTGAAAATGATTCATAAGAGAAAAACAAACGGTCTGATATACGCTAAAACAGTAAACGAAATTTTGTGTTATGCCAGATAGCAAACAATTTGATCCACTGAAATACAGACTTTTTGTCTTAAAACAGTTTTAGCAGGACTTAAAAACAGAATTATACAATAGTGTTCATAATATCTTAACTCCGTAGTTAATTTAATGTTGTGAGGATATTGTTAAGACATTTGAAAGTCTGTTGATAAGACAGAGTCACTATCCGACGATTATGTGTGAGACGCGTCAAGAACATCATAGCCACCTCATTTCGGAATGCATCTTTTGATAATATTTTTATTAAGGATGTATTCTTCTGACGTTTCAGTCTTGTTAAAATCTCGTTCTGGAATTATTTCCAAAACATGTGATGCAAGTGGAAAATATCAATGAATTTAAAAAATGTTATAATCAAACTTAACCCTGTGAAAAAATTGTGTATTTACAATAAGTAGTTTTTGAGTAATAAATTTTTCAAATTTTATTACCAATCAAGTCAGTCTTTTTAGCCAAATTGTTTATAAAATGGGTTAGAGGTACAAGAAATGATTTTACCAGAAATATGTACATCCCATATCACTTTTTTCTTTTCAAATTTCTTAGATATGTATTTTTTCAATCATTTTTAACAAAGAAGTTGAAATAATACGCATTTTGTTCTTAAAATAGAGAAAAATCACAACTTTACAAAATTGACAACATGGTAAATTTGACACGAAAACGCATCAAAATATGATAAAAGTTTCTTATATTAACACCTACCTATAGTTTTTTTAAGTTAAATTTATTCAGATTGGTCCACTTCATCTTTATTGAAAGTATGAAAAAAAGTTTAATTGTGGAACTGTGATTTTTTCACGATAATAGCTCAAAAATGGGTAAAAATTTATGAAAAATGAGAAAATCATCAAAATTGGGTACTTTTAAATGGCCGTAGCAAAAAAAGAAGTGCACCACCATATGATTTTTTCTTCATCAATTATTTTTTTACAGTCATTTGGCTCCTCAGAGGTGAACATCCTTAAGTACAATTGTTTATTTATGTACTAAATGGATTTAAGTTTGTAGCAAAAAGTAACACAACAAAAATACCGAACTCCAAGGAAAATTCAAAACGGAAAGTCCTTTAACAATTGGCAAATGCAAAATCTCAAACACATCAGACGAATGTAATATTCCTGACTTGTTTACAGGCATTTCCGTATGTAGAAAACGGTAAATTAAACCAGGTTCTAAAGCTTTGCAAGCTTGACAAACGGCATGGTTATTTAAATGTTATTCTAATTAACTCTGGAGTCTGGAAATTAAATTTTAAGTTCAATGACGATTTAATAATTATATATGATTTATAAACTAGGCAATTTAAGGAACCAGGCTATGTTTTTCATGATAGATTTCTACTGTTTTACATAGTATCTTCTGTAGGATGGTATAGTGACACCTTTTCCGAGTGATCCTTCAGACCCGTTTAAGTATGTTATGTGCATTGTCACTGGATGGCGATATGATGCTAGAACTACAGCAAATGTTTCATGCTACATAAAAGGCAGCAAAGGACAAAGTGCAAGGCATTGCTTGACTAGGACCTCATCACCGCAGGTTTTGTTTACATCCGGTGGTGAAGACTGGTTTCTAATTACTTCTTCCTACGATATAGGAGACATTGTGAATGTAATTGTATGGCACGACAACAGTGGTTCCTCGCCATCATGGTTTGTACAAACATAGTTTATTTCTGAATATTTAGATTCTGTTCGAAATTTTATTCTGAATTATTATGTCAGTTGAAAAATAACATTTTTGTTTAAAACAATTGAGCAGAATATGATTTCAAATGGGACTAAATAAGAGTAATGGGCAGGTGATTAACATATTAAGGTCATCCACAATGACCCAATATGTGGTAAAATCTAAACATATGCATCTGAAATATCCATGAAATATTTACGATTTGATTTTAAGCTAATTAATCTAGGATAAATAAAAAGATGGCGCATCTAATCAATACACAACTTCTTTAGCTCAAGCAATCTTGATGTACAGTTAAATGCATCTCAACAGATATACAGTTTACACATACAGTTTATATATATCTTACCGGTACAAGTTTACATCAATCTCTCCAGATTTGCAGTTTACATATATCTTACCGGTACAAGTTTAAATTAATCTCTACAGATGTGCAGTTTACATATATCTTACCGGTACAAGTTTATATCAATCTCTACAGATGTGCAGTTTACATATATCTTACCGGTACAATTTAAATTATTCTTTACAGATGTAAAGTTTATATATACGAAATATCTACTCTATATTCTTTGGTGTTTTATCTGAAAGAGGTGCGGTATGGAACAAGTGCTTGCATAAATTAAATATATGGGCACATGTGTCCCTCCAAGGGCAAGAGGGTTAACATGTCCGACATTGTAATCTTCTGAAAATTCAATCGGATAACAACTGCGGAGTTCCGAAAAGAGTCTCGAGATGTTCCGAAAACGGGTAAAGCTATGCGATAGGGGGTATGCGATACAGGGTAGATGATACAGACTGGAGAAAAGAACCTTAATTCAATATACAAACCGTCTGTAATACTAAATATATGATAAAAGTTTACATCATTCTCTACAGACGTACTTATATATCTTTCCGGTACAGAGTTTATATAAATCTCTACAGATGTACAGTTTATATGCATCTTACCGGTATATTTATATCATTCTCTAGAGATGTACAGTTTAAATATATCTTACCGGTACAGAGTTTATATCATTTTCTACAGATGTACGGTTTATATGCTTCTTATCAGTACATTTTATATCATTCTCTACAGATGTACACGTTAGATCCATTTGTCCAAATATACAGTGTGAATGTTTCTTTATAAAAGAGGGACGAAAGATACCAGAGGGACAGTCAAACTCATAGATTGAAAATAAACTGACAACGCCATGGCTAAAAATAAAAAGACAAACAGACAAATAATAGTACAGAAGACACAACCTAGAAAAACTAAAGACTAAGCAACACGAACCCCACCAAAAACTGGGGGTGATCTCAGGTGCTCCGGAAGGGTAAGCAGATCCTGCTCCATATGTGGCACCATAGGTGTACATCAAGATTGCTTGCACTAAAGTAACTGTGAATCCTATAAATATGACAGATTCTGTCAAGTGGCAAGATGCAAAAAACATAACAAGACCAAGGTCTACACGTACAACAATACAACAAACATGTAAAACCAGTTACTTACTCAAAAAAAGATAAAAAGCATATCTACAAACAAAAAATTAACAACAAAAAACCCACTACTGAGAATAAGATCCAAGCTATTTAAACAATTGAAACACGTTTGATCAATAGTGAATAATCATATCATTGAACGAGTTTAGTTTGGAATTTTTTATACAAATCTACATCACCTTGCGAAATTAAAAATGTAAGTTTTTTCAGATGATAAAAGATAAAAATGGGAATATATTCTTTTGTTAAATACGATGTTCAAAAATGATGAATTTTTGTACATGTTAATTTTAGCAGCCTGAAAACATGAGATAACCCATATCGAGGTCGTCAACATACATTCTTAAACAAAAGACACATTAACCAAAAAGCAAGCTCTCAATCGTCCTAAGTCTGGACAATGAATTAAAAAAATGGGAATATTGAATAACTGCTATCAACATCAACTTTTAAGGACAAAGACATTAACAAGCACTTATTTTACATCCGTGTCTGATGGGAATCAAATTAATAATAAAGATTTTTGTGAAATATTTTTTTTAATTTTTGAATTGGAGTTCTCTTTCCTCTTTGAATGGCAGTTTTTATAACCCCATGTTAACATCCTCTATTTAAATGACTGACTTGACGAGGCACATGTGGCGTGGTATTATAAAACAGGAAGATGTGGTATGAGACAACTAAAGGACATGGATGTACCCAATGGTTTTTGAAGTATTCATTCGATACTCTTATCGTGTTTGTTATCTTAATGAGTTTAATAACAAAGTATACATATGTGTTATATTTTTTAATTGATTAAGACAATTTGTTTTTTTTTTTGTTTTAGGTTTCTTTCGAGAATTATAATACAAGACTTGCAAACGAAGAAAGTTTTTAATTTCTACCACGATAATTGGCTAGGAATACAAAGTGGCACTGCCAAAGTTTGTTTATCAATCAAGTCAAGTTACGAATTGAAGCAACAATTTTTACTTAGAACAAGCCAAGATTTACGTAGAGGGCATTTGTGGATCAGTATAATTTCAAAACCACCATGTAGTGATTTCACGAGGGTTCAAAGATTATCATGCGCATTGTCTTTATTGCTTTGTACAATGTTGTCCTGTCTAATGTTTCATGGAATTCCCACTGAAGAAACGATTAGTTCTCAAGTAGCCAGTATTCGATTTGAATTTTCCCTAAAAGACTTTATCATTGGTTTGGAAAGTAGTTTAATAATGTTTCCTATAAACTTAGCTATCATTGAACTTTTTGTGCGATCGAAGACAAAACAGCTACATAAAGAACGATATATGGAAATTAATGTAAACTGTCCAACGGCATGTGTTGAAAAGGGATCAGATAAAAGAGATCGTGAAATTGTGGCAGTAAAACGATGGATGTAAGTAAACTAATATTATTATCTGTTCCTTGTATCCCCATTGTGTGAAGGCCTTAGTGGATTATTTGATAAGCTAGTTTTTTTTATACCTAAAGCAAATCTACGCCTAAAGGAACATTATATACCTAAAAGAAGTACTCGACTATACCAATATGTTGTCGAAGAAGTTTAATTGCATGTCGGTCAATTAACTTCTTACAGGTCAATATATATTCATTTTAATGTTTGAAAAATGTCAATATGCGATTTCGCTCTTAACATCGTAACCATGCAAACAGATGCGAATCGTTGGAGGACTAGATACACTAGTATTCGTCCTGCAAACACGTGATATAAACTCCGCAATAAGTTTGATATGAAAGGATCGTCGTCGAGCAAAATCGTTAAAAGGAAAATGAATTTCCAAAATACGGAGCACGGATATGTAAAACATATCGTAGCCAGGTTTAAAAAAAAAGTTTAAACGCGATGTAATAGAAAACAAAATCATAAAACGCACATTCTGGCATTGGCTAGGTATCTAGTAGGTAACATGCAAGTATCCAAATTAGTCCTTATAAAAACTACGACTTTAAAGAAAAAGGAGGGAGGATATCAGCGTATCAATAAAACTCATAGGATGAAAACAATTCAATAACTTATCTTCCGGACGACGCCATGACCAAATGTTCATATTAGTTATCAAAGTATCAGGCATATAATTTGATACACCACACGCGCGTTTCGTCATAATAATAATCATCAATGGCGCTCGAAAAAGACGAGTAGAAAAGGTGCAGAAAACTAAATAAATGGCACTTTAACTACACCACCTTTGAGGTGAACTCATATGCTCAGGAAAAGTAAGTATTTCCTGTTTTCCTAGTGGTATTTGTTTTGTTGCTAATTTCAAGTTTAACGTTACAATGATTTCAGGGATGTTTCAATCCAGTGCTATCAACGAGGCAGGGGATTGTGGTTACGACAAATTCGCCATATCCATGGTTATCTTTTACACACCTAAAACATAACGAATAAAAAAAAACTGTAAAAAGTAAAATCACAAAAATACTGAACTCCGAGGGAAATTCAAAAAGGAAAGTCTCTAATCAAAAAGCAAAATCAAAAGCTCAAACACATCAAACGAATTGATAACAACTGTCATATTCTTGACTTGGTACAGGCATTTTCTTATGTAGAAAATGATGGATTGAACCTGGTTTTATAGCTAACTAAACCTCTCACTTGTATGACAGTCGCATCAAATTCCATTATATTGATAACGATGCGTGAACAAAACAAACAGACACAATAGGTTAAAATGTCAAAAATAGGGGTACAGCAGTCAACATTGTGTTATCATCTTAATCACTTTAAAAACAAACAAATGTAACAAAGAAGCACAAAAAGGCATACATTAAATTAAACATCCTCATTTTGCATTTTTATTATACGATTTTATTTATCTATTTAAAAGATTTTAAGTACTGGCGTAGAATCGCGCGTTTGACGTCGCACAGGTAGATATAAAATAATTTTGTCGTTTAAAGTATGACGAGATACATAAGTACAGAGTCACGTCAAATGGTATTCACAAAAAACAGACTTAACAGTAAAAGTAATATTAATAAAATAAAATAATTTTGTCGTTCAAAGTATGATGGGATACATAAGTACAGAGTCACGTCAAATGGATATCACAAAAAAACAGACTTAATAGTAAAAGTAATATTAATAAAATAAAATAATTTTGTCGTTCAAAGTATGACGGGATACATAAGTACAGAGTCACGTCAAATGGATATCACAAAAAACAGACTTAACAGTAAAAGAAAAATATTAATAAAGACAAATAAAAGAATACTATAACACGTTATTAAGATGATAAACTACGTCAGTATGCAGAATCTTTGCTTCAAGATCATCGTGTATTATTTTGTGAAGTTGATACAGAATATTTATCAACAAGATCTTGGTACCTTCCGATGAACTTTTTTAGAAAAAGGACGAGACGTTCTTTGACATACCCCTGGTTCATCAACTCTCTGCTCAGACTCTGATGACGTTTTACAAAGTCTGAGTAGGAGCTTCAAGCTCTTGAATACCGAATAAGTTGGGAAATGTATATCCATATGCAGGTGAAGTTGGTATATTGCTACAAGGGAGGGGGGGGGGGGGGGGGGATTGATAATTTCAAAATCAAAATCGTCCCGTTTTTCATAGATTCTGGTACTGAGATGAGTGTGTATATCAAGTTCGAGGTATAAGTCTAAAAATGAGGCGGAGGAAGCCGTGTCTGTTGTTTTATTAATTTTAGTTCTGGGGGATATATTAATGGAACCCAATCAGAAAAGTTTGGATTGTTAATGGAAAGAACATCATCAATATATCTGAAAGTGAAACTGAATAACCTGGCTTCTTTGATCTTCTTGTTATTGACAAGTGTCTGAAGGAACTCCGATTCATATGAAAATAAGAAGAGGTCGGCAAGGAGAGGCGCACAAATCTTTCCCATAGGAATGCCGACAATTTGTTGAAAAAGTCTACCTCCAAATTCAACAAATATGTTGTCAATAAGAAAATCCAGCATACTGATCACTTGTTCCTCTGTGTAGCATGTTTTACCCTTTTGTTCAATATTAACAAAATATGCCTTATGGTATCCCAAAGTAATAAATTTATAGCGTATGCTACCATTTTAATGTTGAAAAACATTGTGGATTATTTGTTTTAGACGATTTTTCAATTTCACATGGGGAATGGGGTAATACAAGGTTAAAAAATCATAGGTTTTGATAGAACCTAATTTCAGAAAAAGACCGAGATTTAAAAATATCCAGAAGTTCTTTAGAGTTTTTAAGAATCCACATATGGTTAATACCACTACGCGAGTAAACAGTTTCACAGTATTTCTGAAGACCCTATTTCACTGCAGACAGAGTTTTAGTCAATCTAATGGACAATTATTTAGTGGAACATGCAGATGAGCCGGCAATGTACCGTTGTTTGTACGGAATTTTGTGAAGTTTAAATATCCAATACAAACAAGGTAAGTCCTCCGATTTTTTGTTCAATGCATAAAGTGTATTGTATGAATAAAGCATAACTAACTGTATCATATATGAAGTAATGTACCTACCATGTTTATATGAATGTGGATGTACAAAACTAGGACAACGATGGTCACTATATAATGTTTGATGAGGATCGTTTGAAGAAATTTATTCTAAACAATAGCGAGTACATACACATGATACATCAACAGAATTTTTTCTAAAATATATAATTTGATGAATATTACAAGGATTAACATATTTGTTTGTTTGTATGTGATTGAGATTATAAAAACATGTTGACTACTGTACCCCTATTTTTGACATTTTTACCCATTATGTCTGTTTGTTTTGTTCACACATTGTTGTCAATATAATGGAATTTACAAGGGTTTAGTATTTGAATGACCAAATAGACGTTTCCTAATATTTATACATGCAGACATCGTCCCCAAAGAAGATAAACTGGAAGGGCTTTGTGTGTTTGTATTCTAGAAAATCTGTTATTTTCTTGAAAAATTAATCTATTTAAACTAATTCCAAGAAAATTCGAATGGAAATCGCAAAAAGAGACAAACTTCTATCATGAAAATCCTAAAAAAGTGAAAACTTTGTGATCCTAGGTTAATGTTGCTATTTTTAAATACTTATAGTCATAAACTCCCTCGGTATTCTAGTAATTGTACATCCTTGGAAATTCAAATTTTGGGTTGGGGTTTGAGCGTTATGATAAAATATTCCGACTCATCAAATGTATAAAGTGATATTTTCATTATTCCATTAACATTGCGAATCCTGGTTCACATCCTTGCTTTTATTTCAACAATTCAAATGTTCATCGAAAAAAGAGATTTTCCCTGGAAATTGTCTATTTTATTATGAATATTGATAATAAACTCATCATAATTACTAGAATTAAAATTTTGTATAAGACTCATCATGTTATTTACTGTGTTTTCATTTTTGTCAACCTTCTCTGGCAGTTTTTTTCCGCGGCTATTGACCCGAAGTGGAATTCTGTATCTTAAGTAGGTTTGGTTGATTGAGGCATATTTACAAGTACTTTGAGTAATAAAAGAAGATATTTATTTGCTAATCGCAAGAATAATTCTGATACTGTTTTCGTCATATTATAGAAAAATAAAAGGTATCCATCCATAATACAAAATCAGTGCATGCACAGCAAAAACAAAAACACACAAAAAAAAAAAAAAAAAACCAACGCTTTTGTTGCTGTTCTACATCTCAGATTAATTAAATTTTACAGAGCATAAATGTAAAGCGACTTGTACGCAAATATTGTGATGAAATTGTGATAACTATACACATCCTTAGTTTTACGGAGATGTTGTTTTCCGAGCCCGGAAATTTAGATACGATCCGGGTAAACTTATCGATCCTATAAATAAACTTATTATAAAAGGTTACCTATTCAACACTTTAATTAGATCTTTGAATATTGTTTTGATTGGTATTAATACTGGTTTTGTTATAAGTAAATTAAAATCAAACTAAATATTATTCATATATACATATGAACATCCATGGCCCTACAATCTGTCGATACCTGTATCTTGGCATTGCACAAGGTCATGTTTTTCTCTGACTGTTAATGACGTCTATACAATAAATCCATTGGATGTTGGATGTGCCAGATTGATATTTTAGTCTAAGATGCATGATTTTTTTATTAGTTGTTATTGGCTTTGATCTAGCTGTCAGTAACTACGAGTACTCTCAGATCTGTATTTAGTGTCTTTTTGTTGCGGGGATGTATTAGTACCTTGCCAAGTACACTCTGTGTTTTTGTTAGATGTATTTCTGCTTTGTATCCACCTCATGAGTAAAGCCATTTTCAACTGATTTTTATAGTTTGTTCTTGTTTTGTACTGTTACACTACTGTCCATAGTTAGGGGAGGGTTGGCGTCTTCAAACTAGTTCAATCCCGCCACATTCAGCATGTGCCTGTCCCAAGCCAGGAGCCTGTTATTACGTGGTTGTCGTTTGTTGCTGTATATCAAATTTGTTTTCGTACATTATTTTGTACACAAAACAGACCGTCAGTTAGTTTTTCTCGTTTAAATTGTTTTACATTTGTTATTTCGATGCCTTTCATAGCTGACTATGCGGTATGGGTTTTACTCGTTGTTGAAGGCCATACGGTGACCTATAGTTGTTATGTTCTTTGTCATTTAGTCTCTTGTGGAGAGTTGTCTCATTGGCAATCATACCACATCTTCTTATTTGTATATTTACATTGAAATCTGCCTCAATCTGATTATTAGTTAAATAAAATGCTTCTTAGAAACAAAATGTTTTGAGATCTTTTCATATCTGACAGTATTTTTAGGAAATCTGTAAATTGATACAATTACTTTTACTTTTATATGTATTTATAAAATTTTATTTTCAGGTTTCCGTGGTGGGTTATATACATTGCATGGACCACAACTATTTTGACATCTTTGACCGCATCATATTTTGTTATGCTGTACGGATTGAAATATGGCTACTATGAGAGTTTGAATTGGCTGGTGTCCTTTCTTACAGCATTTATTGATGATGTCTTTTTAATTGAACCTATCAGTGTTGTGTTTTTTGCCATGTTGTTTACATTTATATTGAAACGGGAGGTGAAAATTGATTTTGGACCAGTCTTGATTGTACACAAACCAGAAGGTAAGTTTGATAATTTCAAATACAAGTTTGGTTTAGTTACCCGTTTATTAGTCTCCTACCAGCGACGCCAAAGGTCACTATGAGTTTGCGCCATGTCCGTCTATCAGTAAGTCAGTCCGTCAGACAGTTTACCTTTATATGGTAAGAAAAGTAATCATATATACCAGGATTTAAACATATTTTGTAGTCATAATATGGAACGCCATGACTGTCTTCTGATGTTGATTGTTAAATATGTTCGGTGCTTTATGCATTACGTTCAGTAGTATTTATATTTTGTTCAGTAGTTTTCATATTATGTTCAGTAGTTTTGACATTATGTTCGGTGCTTTGATTATTATGTTCAGTAGTTTCATTATTATATGCAGTGGTATTTAAATTATGTTCGGTACTTCTGACGTAATATTCAGTGCATTTTTGATTATGTTCAGTACCATCGACATTATTGTTCAGTAGATTCAATATTATTTGCAGTACATTATGTATTACCTTCAGTGGTCCCGGTTTCTTTATATTCGGTAGATTATTCATTATGTTCAGTAAAAGCATCAGTATTACACTCGGTTCAATGAACTATATGTTCAGTAGTTGTATCATTATGATGATGCAGTGAAAGTCGGGAAGTCAATAACGGAAATTTTCAGAAAAAAACGAACGCGGATATTTTCGACGGACGTTTTCTTCATGGACACTTTAACGGGATCAGGAATGAAAATGGAAGAATTGGAAGCAGTATTAAATTGGTTTGGTTTACGTTGACACGTTGGCAATTTTCACAAGGAAAAAAATACTCCTGACTTAATTTGTAAGATGTCATGATTGGTTGATTGTTTGTTGTTTTCTAAACGTACAGTGGCAAATATTTCACGCATATTTATGACGGAGAGAAGAATTTTCAAAAAAGAAATAAGAAGTTGCATGCGTTGTCGTTGATACACCATGCCCTTAGAGAGACGACAAAAAGACAAACAGCAAAAAATAAAATATAAAAACATATTCTATAGCTTTTGTATTCCTTGTAGGTAACCCTTTTTGTTGGTTGGTTGTAGTATATTTATCTCATTCACCGACTTTTAAGAGACCACGAAAAATCTCCTTGCAGATACTCCTATAGTATTCTGCATCCTACCCCGCTTATAGGCGCTTAAATATCAGATATTTATTTGAAATAACCCAAGATAAATGAGGTTGTGGATGAGGTTTACAGAATAGAGAAAGTTGATTCATAAATAAGACCATATCAATGATAATTCATGGTAACACGGATTAGCCTCGAACCTTATCTGGATATTGTCAATCTATTCCTCTTTATTTTGGCTATCTTTGGTGGATCTAGAGACTAAATCCAGAAATGTTTTTAAACGCTCTGTTCAAAAACAGATATTAAGTTATTGGTTTGGGTAGTTTCTAGTCTCTTATTAAAAAAAAAGGGCCATGTTTTATGCATTACTTTAAAATAATAAAAACCATAACTGTACAGAAATGGTGAAAATTTGCACAATTAAAGTTTTGCACTTTGTATTTTGATATTCATTACCTGTCTAATGTAATCATATTTACCCTTAGACCTAGTTAGTTTTTGTGTATACAGCTTGAATTTGGAAGATTAAAAATCTTAATAAATGATTTTAAAATGACAATCATACTGATACTCAATGTTCATTTTTTGTAGCACTTTGGACAATATTTCATTCTATACCCTTGCATACCAGCATAAATTTCAATGTAGCTATTTGAATGTATGAAATTTATGACTAGTTGTTTTCTGGCTTTTCTGCTATTGCAGAGCTTTTTGCTGTCATTTTTGTCTGAACTCTATCACGAACTGTTTTATCATTGTTGTAATAATTTCTGACACAATGCAGGAGAAGAATGTAAGATTATCTTTGTCTGCAATAGTGGACGAAATAGTACGTCAAGATTTGTTAACTCGTGCAAGATCGTGATTTTCGAAGAAAATATCCAATGTACATAATTTGCATGGTAACATCAATTAACCAGTTCTTATTACGACCAGTTCAACATTTCATTCCATATCAATAATAAATTCGGTATGCAGAAAAAGTTTAGTTATTCTGTTAATCATTTAATTCTGTAATCACTTTTTTTTTTTTTTACCTTTTTCCAAAGTTTTAAACATTTTTTTTCAAAGCGCCCCTTTATTCTCTATTCTTTATTTTTTTGCCCACCTTCCCTTTTTTGGAGGTAGGGGCATTATTCTCTGTTCTGTAAACCTCATCCACAACCTCATATATCTTGGGTTATTTCAAATAAATATCTGATATTTAAGCGCCTATTAGCGGGGTAGGATGCAGAATACAATAAGAATATCCAGAAGGAGATTTTTGGTGGTCTCTTAAAAGTCGGTGCATGAGATTAGTATGCTACAACCAACCAACAAAAAGGGTTACCTTCTAGGAATACAAAAGCTATAGAATATGTTTTTATATAATTTTCTTTTGCTGTTTGTCTTTTTGTCGTCTCTCTATAGTCATGGTGTATCAACGACAATGCATGCAACTTCTTATTTTTTGTTTAAAAATTCTTCTCTCCGTCATAAATATGCATGAAATATTTGCCACTATACGTTCAAAAACAACAATCAATTAATCATGACATCTTACAAATTAAGTCAGGAGTAATTTTTTCCTTGTGAAAATTGCCAACGTGGGAACGTAAAACAAACCAATTTGATACTTCTTCCATTTCTTCCATTTTCATTCCATCCCGTAAAAGTGTCCATGAAGAAAACGTCTGTCAAAAATGTCCGCGTTCGTTTTTTTTTCCGACAATTTCCGTTATTGATTTCCCAATTTTTACTACAACTACTGAACATATAGTTCATTGAACCGAGTATAATACTGATGCTTTTACTGAACATAATGAATAATCCACCGAATAAAAAGAAACCGGGACCACTGAAGGTAATACATAATGTACTGCAAATAATATTGAATCTACTGAACATAATGTCGAAAGTACTGAACATAATGCAAAATGCACTGAATATAACGTCAGAAGTACCGAACATAATTTAAATACCACTGCATAAAATAATGAAACTACTGAACATAATAACCAAAGCACCGAACATAATGTCAAAACTACTGAACATAATGTCAAAACTACTGAACAGAATATGAAAACTACTGAACCTAATATAAATACTACTGAACATAATGCAGAAAGCACCGAACATATTAAACAATCAACATCAGAAAACAGTCATGGCGTTCCATATCATATCCTAAAAAGATGTCGTCCGTGGTAAGGAAGATGGGTTACACTGTTAAAATCTTATAGAGGCATTCAATGGTAGTCTTTAAATATAAAATGCGAATTGCTTTATCAGCTGGACCATTATGATAATCATGCATGTTGCCCTTTTTTTACCTTCCGTACTAATCAACCATTTTTATTGAGAAATTGGATTTTGTGAGAATGATTTAACAGTAAAGACATATCCAAACAAATTGTTTGGTACCGCTGACTTGCATTTTGGTCGTTTTTAGTGACATGCTTTATGACATACTTTTCTTAAATTGTCTGTTTATAAAGTCAGAAATTATCAAGAAACTACGGTAACAACACCCTCAGGCAAAGTTGAACAAAGATGGATCTAACTACTATTTTTGGCCCCCTTTTTGTTATATAGCTCTCCACGTGTTTCAGTACTTATACATTCTAGGCTTTCTAATGTTAAGTGTTGAGCGTTCCTTGTAAATAAATCCAGAAGACTCATACAAATTGATAAAGTTTTTTTTTTTTTTTTTTTTTTTTTTATAGCACTAGATAGAAACTGCTGCTGGTGGACTATTTATCCTCTTCGGTACTGACTTGATGTATAAAATACCTTTCTAAAATTTTCATTTTTTTTTCAGTTTGAAATTTATATAGAAACTAAGGTTCCAACATCCTCAGGAAAAGTTGCCTTCAGATGAACTTGGCTATTTTTAGTCTCCTTTTTTGGTGTTATAGATCTCCACGTGTTTCGGTACTTATATATATCAATGGCTTTCAAATGTTTGGGTTTGAACCTGATCAAGGAAAATCCAGAAAAGCATTTCGGAGGCATATAATTTATGAAGAGTTATTTTCATTTTTCCACGAGTTATAAGCCCCGATTTGAAGAATTATATATTAGGCCGTATATAAGTACATTAATGATACACAATTTATTGCATCAGATGCGCATTTCGACAATTCATGTCTCTTCAGTGATGCTCGAGTCCAAAATGAATTTGGTTCTAGATATGTAAAGTATCTTCTTTTCAAAACGTCATATAACCAGTGTTAACATAAGAAAAAGGTGAAATCACCAGCCCAGTAGTCAGCACTTCTGTGTTGACATGCATTATCATTGATATGATCGTTATTATAAATTAACTGTTGACAAAACTTTGAATTCTTTTTAAACTAAGAAATGTCTATTCCAGATTATCTTAGCTGTATTTGGCAAAACGATTCGGAATTCAGGTCCCAATGCTTTTCAAACTATTTTCTTTTCAAATCTTTCTAATTTTTATGATTTGTAGATAAAACGCACGTCTGGCGTACACAATTTTAAGCCTAGTGTCTATTATGAGTTTATTCATAACCTGTTGCCATATATTCATTCAATTAAAAATCTCAAAATTATTATATCCTGTATTTCCTGACCATTAGTTTTTGAAAATGAGTTCATGTAGACATAATCATACACTTTTCTTATATCAGTATACACGAACGTAATAGCGTCTAGCTGATATCTAATGAAATATTTATCTTTTAATTTCAGAAAGCAATACATTATTGCAGAAAAGAAGTAATATGAGGACAATTATCCCAGAACATGCTTCAAAAAAAAGTCTGAAGAAAGCTAAACAAGAACTTGATTTAAAAAAAAAAATCCAGACAAATCTTCAGGACATAATTCTTTACGTGTTTTTCACATTTATGTTGTTATTTGTTGTACACAACCATCGACCCGTGGAGAAATGTTTCATGCAGTCACAAGATATCAATAATATTTTTATCAAAAAGAAATTAGAAACTGTAAGTAAGACAAACCGCGAAGGAAGAACCAATAAGCAATCATAAACCATAAGTCAAAGTAGACACATCAGCGCTGTACCGATGTTTCCAGAAAAAAAAATAAACAGAACAGTAAGGGAATAGACTATTTTCATATTACCGACTTTTGACTCCGGATTATATAATTTTTCGACAGGTAACCTTTTCTGTGGTAGGACATCCAGGTACCAAGTCAAGTGAGAGCAAGGTAAAAAAGTAAAATCAAGCTTTCAATCGGTACAATTTTTGGGGAAAATTAACTGCTTTTCATTTTCTTTGCACGACAAAATCATCGGAAAACAGTACTTTCCCCTCAAATTACACCGATGATATGTTTGATTTTACTTATTTTGGTTGCTCTTACTTGACCGAGTACCAGGATGTTCTACCACAGAAAAGGTAACCTGTCGAAAAATTATATAATCTGGAGTCAAAAGTCGGTAATATGAAAATATTCTATTACATGACCTCCATCATGATCGAAACAGGGTGTGTCGACAGCTAAGTATCTCCTGTTTTGCATTCATCATTCATCATCCGCAATTCAATCCACATTTCACAATAGGGAATAGGGCACAGTAAAATTTCAGATCAGACTATACTGGGATCTAAGTAGCTAAGACGCGAAAACATATCAATATTAGTTGAGACACCGATACATAGTATAGGTTTACTAATTTGAGAAGATGACTGTTTAATAACATAAACAACACGACGGGTGTCACATGTGGAGCAGGATCTGCTTACCCTTCCGGAGCACCTGAGATCACCCCAAGTTTTTGGTGGGGTTCGTGTTGCTTAGTGTTTAGTTTTCTATGTTGTGTCATCTGTACTATTATTTGTCTGTTTGTCATTTTATTTTTGGCCATGGCGTTGTCAGTTTGTTTTCGATCTATGAGTTTGACTGTCCCTCTGGTATCTTTCGTCACTCTTTTAAACTCTGTAGTGTCGATTTCAGTCATTCTTCCTCATAACGCTGTTTGAGTAATTTTTGTGTTTGAAGTCCGTAAAGTGTGAACATGCACGAGCTTATCGTATTAACTGAGATATATAAACGTCATCTGATGGAGCAGGGGGAATATAACTGCTGAGAAAAAGGAAAGTTGATGTTGGAAAGTTGAAATCATCACATATATTGAAGTCGTCCACCTGTGCCAAATTCGAGGAACGATATAGCTATAATGCAAACCTCTCACATTCAGTAGTATCCTTAATTTCAATATTGAAATAAGAAAAGTGGTATGATTGCCGATGAGACAACTCTCCACCAAAGACCAAATGACGTAGAAGTTAACAAGTTCCCTGCGATAAATGAGACGAAAGCAATCATTGAAAATGCGGGTTATTGATCGGAGATTATCAATATATGAATACAAAAATAAGTCGGCCGTTAGTGGTGCACACAATTAGTGGATACCGACTGTCTGCTGAAATATCAATACGCACAAACATGGTATCGATCAAAACGTCCTGCAACTTGCTCATATCATCTCCGGTTTTTGTGTTGGAATCCAGTGTTTTTGTTTACGAAGTAGGACTTTTCATGACCTAAAACAAAGAATGTTATCTACTTTTCCCTTTTTTGTATAAATTGCACTGTTTATAAAAACGATAATATTAGGAATTTAACAGATTGTTGTGGATTTTTGTACGGCACCACGGACAAAGTCTCTAGGCAGTTCACATCTAGTTTATATTTAGGATTATTAATTTCGGTAACTCATTCTCCGGTATTTAGAAAATAAAGGACGAAATTTAAACAAAAAGACATGTGGGACAGCTTATTAATATCGAAAACAAAACAAAACATATTTATTGAAATGATAATTATTGTCTTTATCCTTATATTCACACAAAAACTAAACTTAATATGGTACCCAACACCTTGACAAATAATAATTTGTCTCGTTTAATTTTCATAAAATTTTGACAAAATGTTTACTTTGACCCTTTGACAAAAATGTAAAAATCTCAAAAAATTTGAACCAACCACTTTATCAGAAAAATTTCATTGGTTATATAGCAGTTTGACAAACACTTATTATGATCATTGATAAGCTTAATATTTCCTTAACAATACAACGTAATTAAAACGTTTAGCTGATTTTTACAGAGTTATCTCCCTGTAGTGTTAGGTACCACCTTAATAGTACCGTGTTGAGCATTTTATATCTAAATATGATTTTGTAGGTTAAGACACGCGTTGATGTGTGGACTTATATCAATGAAAGTGTGATTCCGCCATTGAAGAGAACAATACCATATGACATGTCAAGAAAAATTCCAGAAAATGATTTTCTTCTAATAGGAAAATTTCGTCTGCGACAGATAAGGGTTCAAAGAGGTAAACAATGAATAAACAACGAGGTCAGTGACGATACATTTGATGCACATTCAAAATTTTGCATTATAATTTTCACAAATTTCTAGTCACTGTTCTAATTTACTATCTTCAAATCGTCCCCGAGGATTTCGCTTGTTTTTATTTTTTTTTTTTACATTTTGTAACTCTGTAGTCTTATAACATGGTGAGTGAAGCAAGCATTGCAAGAGACGCTAAACCTATTTAAAAAAATAGGTTTGCGTAGGAATCGATTATAGTTCTCAATAATTTTTAAAAATCGAACACACTTCCTGTAAAAAGTATTTTGAAATTCTCTTGTCTGAAAATTTTTTCATGCAGTTAAATATTTATTTCTGCCGAAACAATTCACATAAATAATCCAGTGACATCTATTTCTGACAATACATTTCACATAAATATTCTAGTGACATCTTTTTCTGTCAATACATTTCACATAAATAGTCCATTTACATCTATTTCTGCGAATACATTTCACATAAATAATCCAGTGACATCTATTTCTACCAAAACATTTCACATAAATAATCTTTTTTATTGAAAGACTGTTATTTTTATGATGACAATTGTGTTATAACGCCTTTTATATATCATTATGGTGTACTAAAAGTCTCCCATGTTACTCCTTGATAAGTAACCCGGGTTTGGTGTAATTAATGATATGATTTATCTCATGTATCTGTAAATTTCAAGTTGTTAGACTCTATTTTTCTTTTAATTTTTTCAAACTTTTTATACTTTTGAGTCTCCAGACTTTCCGTATCGGGCTTGTCTTCGGAGGATTGTTCTGGTAATTCGTGTTGTCTGCACGATAATAATATATATTTGTACCGCTCATGATTGACTTTAAGCCACTGAGTACTTTCCAGCCAGTAGCCAGTGCTTCGAAAATGACATTATTCAAATAACATATTGTGTCACTAATTTTCAAGTTCTCAACAATTTGTCACTGTGCTAAAGTTTTATGTTGCAACTCTCCCATGCTACGTTTTTAATGTTTCCAACGTATACGTTTATATTTACTAAACATGAGATCTCTAATGCGCCTAATGAGGGTATATACGTTTTATTTTCCGAACATGAGATCTGTAACGTGTCTGGTGATGGTGTATACGTTTATATTTTCCAGACATGAGATCACTAATGTGCCTGGTGAGGGTGTATACGTTTATATTTTCCAGACATGAGATCACTAATGTGCCTGGTGAGGGTGTCTACGTTTATATTTTCAGACATGAGATCACTAATGTGCCTGGTGAGGGTTTATACGTTTATATTTTCCAGACATGAGATCACTAATGTGCCTGGTGAGGGTTTATACGTTTATATTTTCCAGACAGGAGATCACTAATGTGCCTGGTGATGGTGTATACGTTTATATTTTCCAGACATGAGATCACTAATGTGCCTGGTGAGGGTGTATACGTTTATATTTTCCAGACATGAGATCACTAATGTGCCTGGTGATGGTGTATACGTTTATATTTTCCAGACATGAGATCACTAATGTGCCTGGTGAGGGTGTATACGTTTATATTTTCCAGACATGAGATCACTAATGTGCCTGGTGAGGGTGTATACGTTTATATTTTCCAGACATGAGATCACTAATGTGCCTGGTGAGGGTTTATACGTTTATATTTTCAGACATGAGATCACTAATGTGCCTGGTGATGGTGTATACGTTTATATTTTCCAGACATGAGATTTCTAACGTGCATGGCGAGGAAGAATACGTTTATATTTTGAGATCTCGTACGTGCCTTAAACGTGCCTGGTGGGCGTGTATACGTTGATTCTTTACGGACATGGGATCTCTAACGTGCCTGATGAGAATGTGTATATGTTTTTAATTTACAGACATGGGATCTCTAACGTTCCTGATGAGGGTGTATACGTTTATAATTTACAGACATGGTCATGCGATCTCTTACGTTCCTGATGAGGGTGTATACGTTTATAATTTACAGACATGGGATCTCTAACGTTCCTGATGAGGGTGTATACGTTTATAAGTTACAGACATGGGATCTCTAACGTTCCTGATGAGGGTGTATACGTTTATAATTTACAGACATGGGATCTCTAACGTTCCTGATGAGGGTGTATACGTTTATATTTTCCAGACATGAGATCTCTAACGTTCCTGATGAGGGTATATACGTTTATAATTTACAGACATGGGATCTCTAACGTTCCTGATGAGGGTGTATACGTTTATATTTTCCAGACATGAGATCTCTAACGTTCCTGATGAGGGTGTATACGTTTATATTTTCCAGACATGGGATCTCTAACGTTCCTGGTGATGGTGTATACGTTTATAATTTACAGACATGGATTTCTAACGTTCCTGATGAGGGTGTACACGTTTATATTTTCCAGACATGAGATCTCTAACGTTCCTGATGAGGGTTTATACGTTTATATTTTCCAGACATGAGATCACTAATGTGCCTGGTGATGGTGTATACGTTTATATTTTCCAGACATGAGATCACTAATGTGCCTGGTGAGGGTGTATACGTTTATATTTTCCAGACATGAGATCACTAATGTGCCTGGTGAGGGTTTATACGTTTATATTTTCAGACATGAGATCACT